TCTACTCATACATCCATTTTCTTCATATTGTACATGTTACTCCTTCTCCTATTGTTCCTTTTTATTTGTGTGTTTCCACTGCCTTTGGCAGGACAGGAGTCTCATGGACTCCGTTCACTCAGTACCCTGCATCCAGCTTCTCTTCCACTTCTCCCTTCATGAAGCTGTGGGCATTTCTCAATGAAGCACAGAGCTGGCTCAGACTTAAAGGACTCAAGCCTGAGCATCCAAGGCAGCTGCCAGCTTTCCCCACCCCTTACCTTTGTGCATACAGGTTTTTTGCCTTGGAGCAATTTTAATAAAGGCTATGTAACAACATAGTGTTGGCATAGCATGAGCAACATTGTTCCATCTGTTTCTACTGAAAATGTAAAAATGTGTTAGTATAACATTAAGATTCCAATTTTGAACCATTAAAAATCAGGCAACACTGAAGTTGCAGACTGCTTTTCATAGCTGTTTAGTGATTTCTCTTGCCTTTATTTGCTTGGAACTCTGGTTTAGATGCCTTTAAAACTGTCTTGTGTTCAAAGAGTTTTGAGCACCTATCCTTGGAAACAAAGGCTCTCTTAGGTATTTCAGTTTGGGCAGCCAAAATTACTGCTTTCTGTTGACAGTGCTGCAGAGATGATATTTTAAAGAGTGTTTGGAATCTCTCTGTAGAGATGAAGGAGGATGGTAAAACATTCATCTTAACTTCTATGAGAATTAACCTTACATTAGACAGAGGGCTTGAGCATGCTAACTTTTGCCAAACATGCATGCTAATATTTTGCCAAACTTAGGTTGGTATAAAAATATTCCCTTAAAGGGAATATTCAGTGCTTTTCTGAATTGGAACCTTGACACTTCTCTTTTATTTGATTTTTTGGTGTGAATGATTATAAAGATACATCTGGCAGAGTTTTCACTAAACATCACATTTTAAACAGTGACGATAGAATATCCTGTCAGTGCAATTGTGGTTATTTGTGCCAAAAGTCCCATTTTTAGGAGTTATGCTGGTACAGTCAGGAAACAAAGTGAAGCAGCATGTGGCTTCCTGGCATTCGTGCCTACTGAGAACAGCTTTCACTGTCAGTGCTGCAAACTCAAAACAATGTTCACAGGGAGATTTCCATCGACGTGGAACAATATTGAGCAAAGATATGATGCTGTACAAACAAGTGATCAAGGAATGAACAAGAAAAGGTTCTTTACTCGACCTGATTCCATGAGCAAGGAAGAACTGGTTGTTGACATGACGGCTGGAGGCAGCCTTGGCTGCAGTGACCATGGAGCTGTGTAGTTGAAGACTCTAAGAGGAAGCAACTGGCCAAAAAGCAGGACCACAGCCCTGGATTTCAGGAGAGGAAAATACTCCTCTGTAGTGGTACATCCTCCCCTTCCCTGCCTTTTTCAGGCCACACTGTGGTCTAAGAAATGATGATTAAGCTCAACCTTGACAAAGAGCACCTGGGCTCAGCTCCTCTTGACCTTATCAGAAACATTTTCTGCTTCCAGAACTTGTGCTCTCTAACCAGTCCCTGTTTTTTACTTTATGAACAGCCTTGGAAACTTTTTTTTTTGCCTGACTGACATAACATTCTTGTTCTCACACTTTCAAAGGAAATCTCTGACCGAAATGCAGCCAGGATTAAACATGGTTATGACTAAAGCCCGCTCTCTTGCTTCTCTATTAACAGTGGTCCAAATGGAGACCCTTTGAGCTCTCCTGGACAGCAAAGGGCCATGACCAGAAATCTCCTTCTGAGTGGGGCCTCTCAGGTTTGCTACACTCATAGGCTTGCCAGATAAGGACAGATTCTGGACCCCACTCCTTGAGCCTTGACTCTTTGCCCATTGAGAAGTTGCAAAGGCTTCCAATGTATTTCACTATCTTTGAGGAGAATTTTTTAAAGATAGCCTGTTCAGGCTCCTTATGTTGTGTGCATGCAAGTGTGCATATGCTACTTCAAATATCGGAGAAATGCTGCTCTCTTAGACTCTTAAGTACTTCAGATTATGTAAGTAAGTTAGGCCTTTAAACAAGTTATGGTTGTGATACAGTACATGCTATATGCTTTCATTGCTGAAGTGTTAAGTTTAAGTTAAATGTTGTTAAGTTTAAGTACTGCTGTTTAAATGCTGTTAAGTGATATCAGGCCTTTAGACCATATTCCTTTTAATCCTTACCCTTTCTATCCTTTTGTCACACACACACACACACACACACACACGCATGCAGTTTTTGGTTTATTTTGGTTTGGATTGATTGACTTGGGATTTTAGTTACATTCTTTTCTTCAGTGTGCCTTAGCCATTTAGTAAGTAACAGAGTGAATCTTGCCAACAAAATTTGTTGTGCTGTCGCTTTTATATCAAAGCTGTTTTTACTGGTACCTTTGCCAATGATTCTTTAAATGATCTCATAACAGTCATTCATAACAATCCCTTCAGAATCTGCTTGGAAGAAACCTATGTAATATGGCTGCAGAGAGAAAAGGAGTGCAGTAATGCTCAGAAAATGACCATCTGAAAGCACAGGCAATCAAGCAATAGTGGCAGGAAGCCTGTGTGCATGAGCAAGGAGTGCCAAACTGAATTCAGACATACAAAGGAAGCGTACGACATTGTAGAAAGCTACTGGGTTGGTTAAACAAGACTTTTCCTTTGTAAATCCATGCTGACTGTTGCCAATCACATTGTTATCCTTCATGTGTTTGGAAATGCTTTTAAGAACAGTTGCCTCCATCAGCTTCCTAGAGACTAAGGTGAAGTCAACCAGTCTGTAGAACCTAAGATTTTCCCTATTGCCATTCTTTAAGTTGGAGGACTATTATTTCTGCTCCAGTCATCAGCCAAATTCAAGTGGCTGATTTCTAGAAAAGTATTTAAAATTTTCCATAATATAAAATAGCTCAAGGCCTCTTTCACATATATCATTGGAGTGTTACTGTATTAAGTTCCTCCTAAAAAGAAAGTCCATCTTTTTAATAGATATTACAGGTAAGTACACTTAACATAGAGCAACTGCAAGTGAACATTATCACATCAGTTAATGTGTGCAGTACATGCAAAATAGCTTGTATGTAGCTTATCCAAAATCTTTAAGGTAGCATGATCGTTCTGAAATTATTTTGGTAGTGGTGGAAATGGGGAGAGTTGGTTTTTTACCCTTTTTTTTTTCTTCTGAGTGTTTTATTATTTCTGGGTATGAGGTGCTTGAGTGTGTCCCATTTTGGGCAATGATGCTGGTGAAGGGTCAGGCATTGGAGCAAGCTGCTGAGGGAAGTGGTTGAGTCATCATCCCTGGAGGTATTCAAAAGAAGTGTAGATGTGGTGCTTAAGGACATGCTGTAGACATGGACTTGACAGTGCTGGGTTAATGGTTGCACTTGATGATCTTAGATGTCTTTTCTACCTTAAATGATTCTACGAGTCTGTAATTTGCTGTGGGTGCTATAGTAAACCATAGTAAGAGAGAAGAGTGTAGTAATTTTATGATGGATGCTGTGCTGTCTGATACAGCTGCTTGGAAAGAATTCAAGTGTGTGCTGAGAAGCTGCCTCTCTGTTCCTCCTCACCATTTCTGTGAACATGACTCCACTTGTGCTCCCCAGTGCCGAGCGAACAGGTATTGGCAGCATCCCCAGCAGTGCTGGGCTCACCCCTGAGGCCAGGGTGGACCTGTTCTTTGACAGTGCTCCTCCCTGGGACAGCCCTCTGGGGACCATTCATATCCCCCCAACTGCTGGAACTGGCTGCTCTCAAATCTGCCTTTTTTTCATGAGGTGTGACTCATCAGAGTCATCGAGCAGCAACCTCGTAAAAATGGCTTTTCTAGAGCCATGGAAACCACAAGATCCCATTACAAGCCGTTTCATTTTCAGTGACTAATGGAAGGTCACCAGTAATGAGACAAGAGGAAATTCTTAACTCTTTCTCAGGTTCCCTTTTTCCTCATTAAAAACAAAGTTTACTAGTAAATGAAATTCAGCTCATGTTTATATTCTTTGTACATTCTTTGCCAGTGCCTGGCTAGTTGACAGAAGACTGCCAAATGTCTGTTCAAATTTCTAGGTTTTCCTGCAAAAAGCATTTGCTGCTTGAAAGATACATTTCAGCTACTTCAAATGTCTCAAAACAGCTGCTTTTTTATTTTTTTCTTTTACATTTCCATTTGTGATTTTATAGATCATATAAGTGAAAGTGGTAAGGAGCAAAGTGTGAGGGTTTCAGACTGGATTCACAAGCAGATTAGCAGAGACCAGACAATAGAGCAAGCTGGTGAAGTCAGTGAAGCCAAGTCCTGTAGGTAAAATTGCAGAGCTGGGAATCTGGAAGTCTCGCTCATTAATTTAATTGCAGCATATTAAGAAATGAAGAGGACAAGAGGGCAAACACATGCAGAAACACACATCTGAGTTAAAAAAAAATTAGTTTCATGTGCTGTTTGCCTTATGTGATTCAACATAGGCCAGCTTTCAGACCTATGCAGAGATCTTGTAAAATTAATGTGAGAAGTATTTTGAAAAATAGAGGTCTGAGACTCATAAGCAAGAGTTGGGAACTAAGCTTATGGCTGGCAGGATGGGCAGTGTAGACTGTAAAGCGAAGGGCTGTAGAGCATCGTATGCACTTTAATTATCATGTGCTATTTAGTGTCTGTTGGGGGGCTGTTCAACTTAGAACCATTTTACAGATATGCAGGAGCCTGTGGTGTAATGGGCTCTGCCTTGTGCCTCATACTGAAGGAGAGCTATTGCTGGAGTCAGAAACTTACCCAGCCAGGGCTTCATTAAGTGATCCTGAAGTGAGCACAAGCATGTGTGATAGAATGCAAAGGATTGTGTGTCATATTTTTCTCTCTCATTCCCTTTCTTGCACTCCCCTGTTTCCAGCTCAGTGCAGGTCTCAGGGATAACAGCAGGTAGGTCCTGGACTGGACACCAGTGGCAGTTTTTACCCCCTGCCTGTTGGCTACTGACTGTAATCAATTGCTCTACCTCAATTTACAGCAACAAAGAATTTGGTCTTGCTAGAATCTGCTTGAGAAATGGCACTGCTCCATTTTCCCACTTCATCAAACCTCCAAAGGCATCCCAAACTCACCCATGGCTTACCTCCATGGTAAGGGGTGAACAGACTTATGGAAGCTCCAAACTGCACAGGTAAGTGGGATGAGTTTTTTTTTTTTGAGTTCTACATTTGCCTTTGGATAGGAAATTTCTAAAAATGTCCTCTAATTGCAGGTGAGGAGCTAAGTCTTAGGGGCAAATAAGGACCTGTGCAGTTCCTTCTGGCCACAGTCTGCAGGAATTTAGGGAGCTGCATAACCACAGCAATGATACTTCTTCTGGCTGGTACTGTTATAGGATTATTTTTTTTTAACTTGGGCAAAAACTCTTCTGAAAGCTTTTTGTACTGAAAGTATGAAGAGTGACATGGATTTTAAATCCAATCCCTGAACCTTACATGTCCATAATTCAAATTGAGACATGGACTCCCCATTAGCCACCTGGTATTGCACCTGACCTCTGGGCCACCAAGTCCTTGCCAGAGAGCGTTGTCCTAGGTCTGAAAACCAAATCCCTTTTCCAAGCCAAGTGCCATGCCCATCTGGGGTCACCAAACTGTGAAGTCTTGTGGATGCTGTGGAAAAGCTGTGAGTCACAAATATAATTTCCTGCAGCATCACTCTGTGTGGGTTCCTGCTTAGGGCTATATAGAAACAAAGGCTGTGCCGCCTCCAGGAACACACATGGTGAAATCAAGGGCTTATTCTCAGGTGGCTGCATCTTCAAAGAAGCTGACTAAATTAAAAGAGCACTGTCAGAACGTCTGAGTCCTTTGGAGGTCCAGCTCAGTCGTGCTGTTTGCTATCTCTGTACCTGTCACTTTGCTTTAGTTTCATCAAGGAAAGGAGATGAAAGAAATGAGCTCAAGTGACCCCACGTGGGATAAATTGAACACACTGACAGACTAGAGGCGAGGGCAAGCTTCCCTGACTAGAGCAATATGCAGCTGATTGATGTGATGAAACACAAATGCTTCTGTCCTATGGTTTTCTGGTGAATGAATGGTGATGAGAAGAGAGTTATTTCAGGCTTCTCTTTGTAGAGTCTTTCATAATGCAGATGGCTTCTGCATGGTCTTCAGTACCAGCACCTGAAGGTGTTTCTTCAGTACCAACACCTATTTAGGTGTTTCTTAGAAGCTTTGGAGAAAAGTATAAGAACATTTCAACATCAAAGTGGTGACTAACACCATTCTCTTCCCTATATGCTGTTATTGATCCTCTTAATGGCCCTCATTGACTTCCTTTTTGCTGTACCAGGTGATCATTGACTCATGTTATGAGTCTAGAGGTTATTTGGCTAAAGATGAATGTAGTTGTCTTGTTTCTGTTGTTTTACATCTTACTGACTGGGAATTTCATACTTTTGTTGGCTTGTTTCTGTTGTTCTACATTTTACTGACTGGGAATTTCATACAAGAAAATAATCAAAGAAAATAATTCTATCTCACAATGTGGTGGCGAGTCCTGAAGAGGCTGCCTCATTTTAGTGCAGAATTGAGAGACTTGTTCTGGGGATGCCCTAAGACATGCCAGGCTGCTCCAGAGGTAGAAGTCATTCAAATGCAAGAATGAAAAGGGACATCAAGTTTCTATGAAACGGAGCTTAGATGCTGCAATCAGCTCTTTGCCTGGCTTCAGAAGTAACTGCTGACAAAATCAATGTGATGTGCTGTGCAGGGAACTGTATATCACAGTACCCATGCAAATGCACTTAGTGCAAATGCTGAGCATTTGAAGACTTAATGTTATACAACTTGTGTCAGGAGCAGAAATGGGGACACAGAAAATGTGAGTTGGATCTCTTCCTGGGACATTGATTTGGATTGGAACACCAATAAAAGAGAAATGGTCTCCCAGTGATGGAGGATTTTGTGTTGAAATGATGTGTGTGCAAGTATGTACATAACACATGGCAACAGATGGAAGATGATCAGATAAAAATGTTGATTTGAAGACCAGGTAAAAATCTAGTTTTGGGCCTAGTCGTCTTACAGAAATTAAACACAATAACTCAAAGACTATTTTAAACAGTTATTTCATAAAATCTTACCTTGCCTTGACCTTTTCAAACTTGCCAGTAATGTAAAAATGTGGAAAATTAATTAATTAGGAGTCTCAATTCAAATTTCACCTTGGCAGTTTCAGGTAGGTCGTGCAGCATGACTTTAAGGACTACCGCAATATAATATAATACAAGCCTGGAGTTAATATATAAATCTTTGTGATATAATATCCCACAGTTTAATGTAGATTGGCACTCATCAACTGCTACCTGGAGAGACGCTTTAATAGGCGTTTGCTTAAGATCCTGAGTTTATCCTAGACATAAGCACCAGACAGGAGTGAACCAAAGCTGTCCTAAGATATTCAAGAAGCATACCCATTAAAGACTGCAGGTGTACTCTGTCCATCTGTGCCTTGGCAGAATATAAAACTCAACATCACCTGAAGCTGACGTGGTGTAAGTGCTTATTGGAAGGACTGGCACATATGAGGTCATTTTGGCTTTCCCTGCAAACACCTGTCATACAACATGTACAATGAACTTGGACAGAGTTTTTAAATCTGGTGTAGTGCCAGGTGGAGAACAGACTTAGAGATGTGCATGAGAAAGGTATTTTTCACTCTAGATGAGACTGTTGGACAAGAAAGAACTTTAATGTTATCCTTTATTGAAGTTTTTGCTCTGAACATAAGTGGATCCTAGAAACTAAAAAATCATACTCTCCACCTCTTTTTAAAAATAATAATTGAAAATAGTTTAACTGAAGATGTTTGAGCACTGATTTGGTACTGAGTATAAGAAGTATACTTCTGCACTGAATCCCACTGCCTCTGTTGCATTGGAGTGCAGTTTCTCTTTATTCAGAGGAGCATGGTTTTGTCTCCTGCTTTTGCTTGACTGGCCCACAGCTGAATTCAGAGTGAACAAATCAGCTCAGACATAAGGACCTAAAAATATCAAAATAGAGGTAAGTTTCAATGTTCACAAAAGTTTTTTGTAAAAAGCAGCCTGTGAACATTCCCAGTGGTGCTGGTTACTGAAAGTCCTGTTTTGTGGGCTTCGGGCCAAGGCAATGCATTTGTTGTTTCTTTCTTTGGCATTTATTGGATTTCTGAATATCGTTTTGTTATTTTCTTGTTTATGTCTCTTGTTTCCTTTTGTCTCCCCAGGACCCCTGGGCAGAGCCCTCCTATTCCTACAGGAGATCTCCAGCCTCACTGTGGAGAGAAAGAGAGAGGCTGAGGGAAGCATCTGGTGGAAATGAAATCTGAGCAATGAAACACTGAGGAAGATATTGCATTGAATGGGAGGCCAGCAGGGTACCTGGTGCCCTTTTAGCACCCACCTGCAACACTCCACTCACTTCTATGCTTTTCCTCATGAAGAATTTGCTGCACAATGACCAAGGTAAGAGAAAAGCCAGCTCTTGGTCACATTAGAACAAAAGAAGATTAGCACTAGGCTTTACTAAATAAATGGGGAAAGCCAAAGGTAGAGAGAAGGTAAAGGCAGTAGAAGACATCCAGGTGCTGCCCCACAGAACAAGAGGCTCCTAGAGATGTGAGTTCTACAGTAAGGAAAGGCTTAGTAGTGGACAAAGGCTTCTAAAGACCTCCATGTTCAGATTGAAGTGGTCCAAGAGTGTGCCTCCAGTCTAGTCTGAAGTTAATGATGGTCAAGAGCAGCGCTAGGCAGGACAAGCCAGTGCTATGTGCATCCTGGCTGAGAAAGGCCGTTGTATTCTCCTTGGTACTGGGCAGGGGCTGGTCTGCCCGGGAAGTCTGTGTGTGTTGTAAATACCAGTGATGGTAGCAGTGTCTGTTCAGGGACACTGAACTTGCCAAAGCCTCCAGGAATGTGCTCTCTGCTCAGAAGAGAGAGCAAGAGCACACAGTTGCCAAGTGGTCTCAGAGATGCTTCCCAGCAGAATATCCTGGGCCTTCCCTGATTTATCTTTTGACGTGATTTAAATCCTGTGTGTGAGTGGAAAAGTTGTTGCTGTGTTTAATTGCTATTTCTAATTTTGTCTGGGCTTTCTGAGTAAGACTTAGACTCTTAGACCTGAGCTGGGATCACAGCTTCTCTGTAGTGTTGCCCCACAGGCTTGACATAATGAGAAGCACTAAACCCAGGTTTTCTTACCAAAGCAAAAATGCCTCTTGGTGCATGTGTACAACTACAATTTTCCCTCTGTATTCCCTTGTGAGAGCCAAGCTGTGACTGCAGACTGACAGGTGATGTAGTACCACTGGACTGCTGTCTGTGTGCACGTGTGAAGCTGTCACTCTGTTTCTGGTGTTGATTTGCACACTGTCATCAGATTGCTCCTGTCCCACCACCATTCCTTTCCATGAAAGCATGTGTGTGCTTCAAGACATATATGGGACAAAGAGGTGTGTGCATGTGTGCCAACCACTGCTCATGTAGTGCACAGCATCCTTTAAAAGGCAGGTCACACATCAGAATTAATATTGAAAATCTTTTGTAGTAAGAAGTGATTAGAAGCATTATTTTGTATAAATGCAGCTTTATTCAGTAATTCACATTTCTAAAAGTACTTACTTCCTTAAGACTTTACTTGTATTTTTCATCTTATAGTAACAGATACAAAAGCAAACTATCATTTTGTTACATGGCCATTTCCAGTCCTCCAGTCTAATTTTTCTAGACCAGTTTGGTCAATTGTTTACAGTACAAGGCAGGTGAACATGAGTGCATGAAGAAATAGGGGTGGGAGGAAATATGGAGGATATCAGCATTCCCTTGTCCCAGCCTCAGCCCTTGACAGGACTTGGGAGGAGCAAGTAAAACTCCAGGAAGAGTGGATCTCTGTTAATGGCAGATACTTTCATTTTCCAACTCCAAACTGCACGCTGTGTTGATATTTTTAAAACCTTGGAAGAGATTAATTGGGTCAAAATAATTCAAAACCACACAATGTACTGATCTTTTGTTGGAGCCCTTAGAAGTTGCCTATATGCCACATAAGCTGAAACAAATTAATTTTAGAGCTAGTCAGTCTCCTTTGAGCTTCTTGACTTGAAAAGTGGAAGATTTTAAGATGTCTTTCATGTTGGAGTGCTCTGAGACCTCATTTACTAATGCTTTTAATAAGGTTTTGATCTTCAAGTGAAAAGCTCAGTAGAAGGACAAGTGACTTCAAATAGTAAAGTACAATCATGTCTCATTTTAGTATTCAGTTATTTTATAGAAATGATCATAACAACCAGTTCATTCTGCCTTGTCTCTATGGGTATTTGGTTTCAGAGGGAAGGCTGCAGCCTGACAAGCTGTAGTGTCTGTTTACCATTTGGTTTCTTCACAGGGATTGGATGTGGCAGCATCTTGTTGTCACGACTGTTGCTTGAGCCAGCTAGGAGGTTAAATATTTCATTGTGATGATTTTGATACTTGCATTGATCTCCTGTGGATTCGTAATTAAAGACATCACAAAACAAAACAAACCTCCCCCAAACAATTGTGTGTCTGAATCACTTACGTATGTTTCTTGTTCCAAATTATGTATGGGTTTCTTTTTAATATCACTCTTGGCATGACAGAAGCTATGATGGTAACATTGTTGGTACCATTAGCCTAGAATGTTTTCAATGACACTAAGTTTATTGGGACAGACTGTGAATTACTTGTCAGTTCTTGGGAAGTCAAAGCTTAATTGCTGATCAAATGTTTAAAATATGGCTTGGATTAGCAATGGGTTTTGATATTAATTCTTTCTTTCTTGTGACCATTAGGCAAGAAGCCAAAAAACTGGCAGTGCTGCAGCTCTGCTCAGCAGCTGCAGTTTGGAAATCAGCTCCAGGCTTTTATTCTGGACTGAAATTCTCAAGTTTTTCAGATTTTTTCCCTTCCATTTTGGTGGGAATAACTGAAAATAAATTTAGGCCAATCTGAAATAGATTCCCCCTCCCTCTTTCTATTTTTCCTGGCCAGTTATAGAGCCAACCAATCAGTTATTATGCAGTTCTATTATGTTCCACATAAATCCATAGTTCCTACCGGATTGTTCTCCATCATTCCACCTTCTTTCAATAGTCATGGACAAATGGTCATTGAATCAAAATATTTTTGTGCTTTTTGTGTTTCTAAAAAAAAGCAGACTTTTACCTGTGAAACCAGAGAAGATGAGAAAGTAAACCAAAAAAGAAATTTTTACTGAGTTTGGCTCCAAACATATTGTATTTTTACAGATTAATCTATCCTTCCTTCCTGTTTTTGTGGACATTATCAGCCCATCAATACTGTTCTTCTCTTCTTCTGACTTGCACATGCCTCTCCAGACAATGTGGTGTGCAAACCTATCAACCACACTCCACTGAAGTACTGTTAATCCAATAGATAGGTCACCATTGGGTCAGGGAAAGAGGAGGAGAAAGAGAGGTTTACTGTGGGAAGAGACATCAGCATTCTCCAGGAGCCCACTGGTGATGTTTTCCACTCCATCAGCACACCGAGGTCAGAACTTTCCTTCTGCAGCTGGGGTGAAAAAATGGATAACAGTTAATCCAGGATTAATGCTATCAAATTCCCTTAGCACGGAGTTATGCACTAAGGTGGGCGTTCCCAGGACAGCAGACCAAATAGGTCATTTATCTATACAGGAGTTCAAAGCCTCTTCAGGCAACTTGTTCAGCACCTTTTGCTTACCCCAAAAGCACTATGTGAAACCTTCTTGTTCCTGTGGCTGGCGAAGGAGCCTGACCTGTGGCCTCTGTAGCTTCCCTCTGCTTCTCAGCAGATTCCCAGCAGTACTGTCTGAAGGTGTGCACCAGAGCAGGTCCATGCTTCGTGGCCAACAGGGTCTTTCTCCAAAGCAAATTCCTTTCTCTTTTTCCAGGCTAGATGTTCCCATGAACTCATTTCTTTACCTATACTGTCATTGCCTGGACTTTTTCTTCAAGTTAATCTCATCAGTTAATGATCATACCAAGTTTGAAAAGCCCAAGTGCTACAATTCATTATTATTTCTTTTGTTTTCCCTCTGACACTCTCTCCAAGTCCAGATCACAGGATCTTTCTGTGTAGCCACATCTCCTTCTGTAGCTTATTGTCTTGCATCCAAACAACTGGTCCCTGTTTTCAGCTCAGTTGCTGCCTGTTTAACTCCTGTGTTGCTGGAAATAATCATGGAACCAGGGAAAATTAAAAACTGGTAATACTTCATATAATAATTACAGAACTGGCTTTACAGGTGTTTGTAAAAGGCATTTTATACATGTCTGGTCCACTTCTGCACTGAGTGTGAGCCTGTAGTGCAGTGTTATCTTCTGGTAAGCAAAATCTCTCTCTTTCCTTCTTTCCTGCCTAGCTGTCAGTTGGATACAGACACCCCCCCACAAGGTTCCTTTGTGTTTTCTCACCAGAAAATCAGAAAAAGCAGGAACATGCCAAACATGGGTGAGTTTTGGGGATATGAAATTGTGCTAGAAACTTCTATGAAGCTTGTGTGAACTGTTAAAGGAGAATTTTGCTTTTGCAGTTTCTTTTCCACCCCAGGTTACCCATAATTAGGGTAACTTTTTACATAAGTTTTTACTCATGTAAAAACGGCCTGATGTAAAGGCCGTGTCAGACAAATACCAGGTCATTGCTCCAGAACATGGGGTTTGAAGTGGCTTGTGCAAGGATCTTGTAAGCATAAAAACACAACAGCTTCTGCTTTGGAAACAGTCCAACTATTTTGCTGAAATAAAAATTAAAGGCAATTTAGGCTAAGCCATCAGGGTTAATTCAAACCAAGTGGTTACAGTCTGGCACAAAAAATAAGATGGTAGCAGGAAGCTCTTAGTACCAGGCTTCACCATAGGAAAGAAATTGGTTATTCTGGAATGCCTGAAAACATCCAACAGTAGGATGGACAAGGACAGAGAAGCAACAAAGCCCCCACTCTTTTGTGATGGGTTTGCTTCCTGAAGGACAGATCTATTTCCAGCTGTGATGAGTTCAAGTTAACTGCTTTTGTGGTATCCAGTGTAATACTTTTAGTGGGTGCAAATCAGCCTGGTTGCAGCTGCCCAAATTTTCTTTCCTGTATTCATTGTGGCTGGCACTGGTGACACTCTGTGTTAAGAGGAAGACCCAGTGGAGCATAGCATGGCATTGCTTGTTTTCCTCATCTCTTAATTTTCCAGGCTGATAAATGTGGTAGACAAGATACCACATTTACATATACATTTACTATTAGACATAACAATTACTATTAAGGTTTGCAGCTGGAGCAGCTTAGCAACAGAATTTCCCTGCAACCACGAGGATTCAAATCAGTCATGAAATCCCAAGGCAGCCTCTGCACTGGTCTTTGAGGCAGCAGAGGCCAGCTTGGGGAAGTGCTCCTCTCTGGTACTGCTGTGTCCTGGGTTGATCCCTCTCCAAATGCAAGTTTACCAGCA